AAATAGTATAGGCACTTATTTAGGCCCCCACTTCTAGGGTATTTCGTGCTTAGGGTTTACAGGGTTTAGGGCTCTATAGGGTTTAGGTTCTATAGGGTTTAGGTTCTATAGGGTTTAGGGTCTATAGGGTCTATAAGGGTTAGGGTTTAGGGTTAGGGGTTCCCACAGACCTTCCAATATCCCGTAATTCAGGCATATAGCTTAGGTTGTATTTGGGGACCTAGAACGGGACACGATTTTAGAGAACCACTCATAGAATTAAGGTGAACCTCAGAAAGTCGGGACCTGGATTCAGGATGTGGGTGATACTTTACCTTACGGGCACCAGGGTAATGATGTTTCAACTTTCTGGCTTCTACTTTATCATGAAGCCATAGCAATTAAGATGGTTAAGGACACTCATGGGAAGCAAAGCAACCGACAGCCCAGCAACCTGATATCACACAGAAGAAGCTCTGATTATGCGGATTGTTGGCAATGCCTGTACCCAACAAAACTACTACTTAGCTTAAAACATATGCAAGGGTCATAAGAAGGAATCCTACATGTGTGGGTTTTGCGAGCTACAGGTAGGGTCCCTGCTGTTGTAGGTCTTATCATGATGATCATGCACTTCGGTTCCAGTAAGATCATGCTTCGGGAACCGGACGGTAGCAGCAGTAGAACAAAAAACCGGTACCGGTATCAGCAACCAAAAGACTAATAACTAAACCGTAGACCCTAAACCCTAAACCGCTAAACCCCAAACAGCAACCCTAAACCCTAAACCCCTTAACCCTAAACAGCAACCCTAAACCCTAAAGCCCTAAACCCTAAACAGCAATTGTAACTAAGAGCTGGCATTCGGAATTCCACGTTTCTCGACTCCCCACGCCTCACCATGGCAGCTGGAGTCCCAACCGCCGACTCTACTGTAGGGACCTTAATAAGTAGAATAGGGCGTTGGGGCCCATTATAGTATAAATATATAACAAGGAACCCTAACAGTAGTATTGGTAAGTACTTAGGCTTCTATATTATCGCGACGCAATCCAGTGTGCAAACCCCTGATTACTCCAATGAAGCTTGAAACCCTCATAGACTGAGAACCGCCCTCGGGACAGCCGGGCTCTATGTCAGTCTAACAGCGCCTTCGAGACAGAGGACTCTCACCCACAAAACTCGTGGACACCACCGCCTGCCTTCTGGAAGGCCCCCAGCCAGAGGAACGCCACACCTGGGGAAACCCGAAACCCTAAACCCCCAAACCCTAAACTCGATCCGTGCAGGAAAAAAAGCCTTGCTCCACTAAGCACCCGAAGAGGATCTGCGGATGTAGGCGTCGCACCCATTCTGACCTCCACCCGGGCCCTCACCTTCCGTCAGGATCTTGGTGCCATGGAGGGCCAACAGAATACCGGTTCAAGCAGCTCAGGGTCCAGGTTATGAAAGCTATCCGGGAACGAAGTTCAAGTTTCTGCTCAACATGTTCGAAGGAAGCAAGATTGCCCGCCCCAAGTTCCGCTCCTTAGGCCATCGGGATTCAGGAAGTGTGGAAGACTTGGTGCTCAGGAGCTATGGAACTTCAGTCGGGGTACTTGGAGGATCATGGGACTTAGTAGGTAAGGTTATAAGTCCCTTAATTGGGGTTATAAGTATAGTTACCTAATTATAACCCTACTTACTAAGTCCCAAGATCCTTTAGGTACAGCAACCTGTCATTCCCGAGTTCGTGTTTGTCAGGCTCTCGAGATGAGGTCGTCGTTTCTTGCTCCTCTTGCAGTCGCTGCGTCGTTTTTCGGTGTGGCTGTACTATCCTACCAGCTTCGGTTCGGCAGCTTCTTGGTGTCCCGACCGGGGGGGGGGGCCGGGGGTGTGGTTCGGGGATGATAGCACATACTATACACTTCAAGGGCAACCTTCCCCCGCCGATGTTTGAGCGTCTGCAACTTCTGCCACTGTCACAGTCAGGGAGCAGGAGAGGTGACAGGGGGTTAGCTAGTTCTCCTATACCTTGTTTGTCTTAGTGCTCGCACCCACATGTTACCCAAAATTTCACCGGGCATGTTGGCCTCTACGGCACAGAAGCTCAACGCTGATTGTTTTGAAGACCCCTCTCGCCATCCCAGCCAGACGTTCAGGCTCGAGTGTATCTGGTAGAAGCTTTCCGTAAACACTTAGCACTGAAAAAAGACCGGACTTTTGAGCAAAGGTTTGATGTCTGTGCCCACATCTGACAGCTCCGCACCTCATCCCACCACCACTCACCTCGGGGCCTTAAAGCTTGGACCAGCTTATGCCCAATCAAAAGTCCCCACACAGAGAGTCCCGCCTTCTCGTCCTCTGGGTCGGCGGTATGCGAGATCTCACCCGGACGAGCCTTGTTCCTTCCCGCAGACGCTATCTCAGCGTTCGATTCGGGCTTAGGGTTCATAATAGGGTTTAGGGCTTGCAGGGTTTAGGGCGTTCGATTCTTGTCCCCTTCGCCTTTAGAAGTTTGGGATTTGGGCCACGCGGTCTGCATAGCCACCCTGGTCCAGCAACCCTGGATACCCTGGACGAAGAGGGAAGGCATATCTTTGAACTTCCTTCGCCCCAGACCCTCAGGAAATGCAACCCATGCCTCAAAAATATGTATAAAAGGTTTATGTTTATGTAGGGTTTCGAAGAACCTAATTCTAAACCCATCCTCAACCTCACCCTTCTCATGTTCCGAAGCGTTGGAAGCCGAAAGCCAGAACCTGTGAAGCCGTAATCATGGAAACCCAAGAGTTCGACTCCGCGGCCTGAGAGGCAGAATCAGTAAAACACTTGTAACAGTATCGGGCATCAGGGTCACCAGCATTTCATTGTTGTTGCCACGCTTGGTGTTGTTGCTGTTGCTGCTGGCCTTCATGCTGGTCTGCTTCGGTGTCTTTGCAGTGCTTGTGATGAATTTTCGCACCGCCGGCCGAGGAGATAATCTAGGCGCCTTAATAATTAGAATAGGGTTTGGGGGCTACATTATTCTATAATTCTAGTGGGGAACCCCCGAAACCCTGTTCTACTTATTAAGGCCCCTACATTACCCTGTCGCTGGAGTCCTTCCATGTTGGCACTGCTTTGGCATCGCTTCTGAACACAAAGCCTGTGCTCACAAAGCCTGTCAGCACATAGCCCCTAAACCCTAAACCCTGAAACCACTTTTGTGAGCCTGAAGTCCAAGATCTGGATGGATCGGTTGCAGTCCTGCGTCCAAAGGCTTTCGGGCGCTGGATCTGAGGACCCCAACCAAGGATCGTAAGGCTCGGAATCATGGGTCAGGATGGTGCTTCAAATCTTTCGGCACTGAGGTCCCAAATGATATTTTGCATATCAAGCAGCAAGAGCCTTGGCGCTTCGACTGTGACCTTTTGTGCTGTCTCACTTGAACCAGCTGGAGAAGAAAGGAGTGGTGCTAGCCCATGGACGCTTTCGCTCCTCCAAGCACTGTTCGAAGTTACCGAGGTACCTCAGAAGCTCGTGGCATGCTGGGGTCCTGGTGGCCTTCCTTCTGCGACTATGGAAGTGGGGTTTCCTAGCTGTCCAGTAGCCTAGAGGAGTTGCAGGTTCACCTTTGGGGTTGTACAGGGTTTATAACCTTACTTTCCCAATAAGCCAGGGAAATAACATAGTAGGTCAAATTTTCAGACTACTACTACACTATAAGAACCCGCAATGTTTAAAGGTTGGGTATTGAAAAACTAAGTAATAGTACCCAGAAAGGCTAAAGGTTAAAGGTCAGCTGCCCTGCTATCAGGGGTGTCTGGAAGCTTGACGGATGCATTCCACGAGGCTCTGGGGATTGGAAAGGTGCGGGGCTCCGGGGGTATTCTCATCTTACTTCCCCAATAAGCCAGGGAAATAAACGGCTAAACTTTCAGATTGCTACCAAATTATAAGAACCCGAAAAGTTTGTAAAGGTTGGGTATCGGAAAAACTAGAAGTAATAGTAGCCCCAAAAAGCTAAAGGTGTTTTCAGAAGATCAAGGAATTGTTAGAGTCGGGCTAAACCCCAAACCCTAAACCCCAGAACCCCCAAAACCCCTAAACCCCTAAAGCCCCAAAACCTAAAACCCTAAGCCCCTAAACCCTAAACCCCCAAAGCCTACACCGAAAAGCCTTCTTGTAGGGGCCTTAAGAATTTTACTAGGGTTTTAGGGCCCATTCTACAATAATTATAATAAGGAACCTTGACAGTAATATTGGCAAATTATTCAGGCTCCTACATTAAGTCATTCTAAATCCTGGTGCCCAGGCCGTAGCGAAGAGGCGCCAGCCATCTGAGACCGGCGCAAAGCAGCCACGGCGCGGTTCGCAAAGCAGCGCGCATTCGAGGCCAACTTCAGGGCCTCTGGACAAACAAAAACTTTGGGGTTTCATCTTTCTTGTTTTGAGTACGCTTCCCTCAGCATAGCTCTGTCGCAAGGGCTCAAGGCTTCGAGTTTAAGGTGATCAAGAAGACAGAGTGCTTTCGTTTTTGCTGTCGGTGCTGTTGTGGCTGTGGGTGTGTGTGGAGGGGGGTGCTTCTGGTTTTTGCTGTTTGGGCCCGGACGGGACGTTCGCCCACTTGTTGCCAGGGCTTCAGCTGCAAGCCGCAACAGCAACAAACACACCAACAAAAACACACACCCGTTCCGTCAGCAAGAAAACCACTCGAAAGGAGCCGAGACGGAGAGACAGAATTGCACAGGGTAAGTAAGAATCTATATATACATATACGCATACATGTCTATATATATATATATATATACGTAGGTATATAGATAGTGAGACTGACTAGAAAGAACACGAAGCTTCGGGGAGTCTGCCTTTAAAGGGGGTATTGCGCATAATTGCTTGTTTAGATACAGCTTCCGAGTGGTCTTCGGCCTTACGAATCATCACCTCTACATCCTGCCGGTCGACAGCCTGCTGACGCCCCAGAACAGTTTAGGGTTTAGGGTTCCGAACCTAGAAGACCCTAATCCCGAAAGCCTACATACACCCAAGAGTGCGAACAAAAAGAGCACGTATACCTCGTCGAGCATGCTGTGTGGGGCTCGAAGCGCGGAGTAGGAGTCGTTAGGCCCCCAACAGTGCTACCGCAACGATCTAATGAACAAAAATGCCTCTCCACGCGCCTCGGTGTAGGCGTTGTAGGCACCCTGGTAGTCTCCGAGGGTCATGAGCTTGTCGCCCTCCGAGAGGCTAGTTCTCACCGAGGGCAGGCAAAGATCGAAACCCTAAAACATGACTCTCCGGAAAGTCAAGCAAACGAGCCCACATGAAACCTCGGTCCTACTGAGTCCTGCTGCTGCTCAAACCTCGAAACTTAATTACTATTATCACTACTATTATTAGTAGTATTCTTCTTCTTATTATTATTAAAGGGATGAAGATCGGAGTCTCTCTGATGTAACCAACGTTCTCGTGTCTTTATTCCACTTCGCTCAGAAAACAGAACTCTGCTCTGGCTCCAAGTCCAAGCCGTCAGGGCCGAGGGTGACCTAAACCCCCTCCCCCCCAAGGGTAGGCAAAATAGTGGCCCACCACCTACACGGGGATGTTATTCTACATGCTTTTGGGCTGTGGGCAGGGGGCTTTGGGTTTATGGATCTTTAGGGATTGGCCTGTTCTTGTGTTTGGGAACAGCAAGGCCTTGTCCTTCAGCCAGACTGGATCACTCTCGTCCTCCTCATCACCGGCCTAGGCTGGGGATTCACGCAAACAGAACCAAGTAATTAAACCAAGCGCAGTTTAGGGTTTAGGGCCTGGGGTTGTTGCGAACTGGCATGTGATAGACGCTGGCACTCATTAGGATTCTTAGCCGGCGTAGATCTCACTTGCAAGGGCGAAGCGATTTCATGCCTGCTTAGAGATGAGCGGTTCGATGTTGGAAGGAGTGTAATTGCCACAGGCTCGGGGCTGTCAGGTCTGCTCAAGGAGCCCTGGCGCCCAAGATGTCAAAGCCGTATAAGCGCTAATAAACCCTAAACCCGAAACCCTTATCATTTCTGCGCCCCCCCACACTTCAGCTACACCTTAGCTCCATGCACAGGACCCGACTGTGGTGTTGTCTTATACGCCTCTTATAGTATATGATCGTATATGACAGAGTATATTAAAGTACAGTGTAGTACCCCATAGTATGATATATAGCTTGTCCTATGATCCAGAGGCCCCAATTTGAGTAGAGGCTATGAGCTCAGAGGTTTGGGGATTGAGGTGGGCCCAAAAGCCAGATACCAACCCGACAGCGACAAGAACGACACCTAAACACCCAAACTGGCAACACTACGAAACCCTAAACCCTAAACCCTGTAAATCCCAGGGCTTGGGGATAGCATTGTTAAGCGGACAGCACAACAAATCGAAGGAGCCTCTCAAATACTTGAATGTGAAATCCACAACAGCCTGAAAGCACAGTGAGACCAACAACTGCAGATCTGGGTCCAGCAGTCAGCGAATCCCGACAATCCCACAAACCCCGGAAGAAATCAAAAGGCTGAAAGGCAATCACCCGTAAACCTGATTGTCTTAATTGACACAGCTTCGTTCTGTCTTGCAGGGCTCGTAATCGGCACTATAGATGCTATGCTGTTTCTGGCAGGCTCTACTCTGCAGGAAGCGGGAGTTACTGTAGGGCTCCTTTATAGTATATTTATGATAAGGAATGCTAACAGTAAATTGCTAATTATTTAGGCTTCTATATTAACCCTCGAATAACTGCTGAGCTTGCGCACGATCATGGGCGGAGCATCGCTCTTCGGCGCGTCCTGCCAGTAGGTCCATCTGGGATAGGTTATGGGACCAGGGTCCCCTAAAATCTAAACCCGAAACCCTCAAAACGCTGCAAGCCCTTAGCTTACCAGGGTGAAGCTGAGATTTTGGTACTTTTCAGCAGCTCAGGGTAGAGTGTGGGAACGTCGTCTGCATATCTTTGGCTTTTCCTGCGGCTGCGAAGACCTCGACTCTTCTTCCCACATTGCTTCAGCGGGTGGGTTTATTGAAAAAACCATGGACGTGTCTATGTATGTGCCCCTATATATACATGTAGGGGTACGTACATACATACATGCATACAGACATATACATATACATATATTTATTTAGAGAGAGTTTAGGTTAAACTACGATATGATTTAGCAAAGCATAGACGGTTATAACACATTACATCGTGGTGGGTTATACTCCATCCAAGCTATACCTACCTACCTACCTACCTACCTACCTACCTACCTACCTACCTACCTAACTAAGTAGCTAGCTCACTACCTAACTACCTGCCTAACTACCTAACTACATACCTGACTACCTAACTACCTAACTAACTATCTGACTAACTAACTTATTAACTAACTAACTACCTACCCACCCCACCTACATACCCTACCTACCTATCTACCTATCTACCTACCTGCCTACCCACCTACCTACCTACCTGCCTCCTACCTACCTACCTACCTACCTACCTACCTACCTCCCTGCCTGCCTGCCTGCCTACCTACCTACCTACCTACCTACCTACCTACCTACCTACCTAACTATCTTTGTTAAATCATTATTGGTTATTATTCGTATCAAGGTGATTACTGCTACTTTTACTATGATTAGTGGTTTTATTGTTAGTGTTGTCATTATCGGTGTTATTTCCACTACTTGTTCATATGCCTCTATAGGAAGCATTATGAAGCATGTAGTCTAACATAATATAAGCGAGCATTTTGTTTGAAGTGTGATATAATTTCATGAAATGTTATTTTGCACCGTAACGTAATGTCATCAACTACTATGTAGTTTTACTATAAACTCGTAGATTTTATTACATGCCATTACATACTGTTATAAACTGCTATATCTTGCTAAGTAATATGTTACAGGATGTGTATATATATATATATATACACATACATATTGTTCAAAGCAACTGACATTTCAAGTGATAGCATACATAATGAAAAGTAAGTATATGTACTTATATATATACACACAGCACATATAACATTCATATTGTTTGATAAAAAAAGACTGTAGACCAATATGTTGTCTTCGAAGCCCATTTAAGCCATGTTCTCTGTACTAGTCTTGTAGTCTATTATGCCATGCTATATTCTGCTATGTTATGTTATGAAACTCCCTCCTCGCCTGCATCAAGTCTACCACGGTGTGGAAGTGTAGCTTAGCTCTGACAGCAAACTTGCTCGTCCTTGGGAAATGGCGGCGCTTTGCGTCCACGGTCACGCACCGGCACGCCTGCACAAGGGCATACAAGCTAGTTGATTACTTTGAGGATAGATCGGGATGAAGAGGGGCTTCGCAGCTGATGGTGAACAGGCTTCGCAGTGTGATGGATGCAACTGGTTTTTGGTATTCAAAGGTGCTTGTTGAAAGACCAAATACCTGACGGCACAGTCTTTGAGAATTTTGTGAGCGGTGCTTAATGATGTCAATGTGTGTGTGTGTGTGTGCTGCCGATTTCTGTTGCGCTATGCCCTTCATACTTCGCCGTTTTGTAGTCGTGGTAGGGGCTGGCTGCCACTCCAACATCTTACTTCCAGCCTTTCGATAATTTTCCAATGCCAAACCCTTTGTTTCAAGTATGGAGTCCCAACAACAAAAGCCTGAGTTGAGACCCGTGAGCCCATTTCGAAAACGCTGAGTAAGATCTCGAAATCCGATTCCGCAGCCGAAAGCAACCCAAAACTAAACTCGAAAGTACAGTCGGAAGAATCCCAACCCTAAACCTTAGGATCTCAACCCTTTCTTTGTCCCCGGCCGCCTGGGCCCTCGACCCAAGTCAAAAAAGTAGACAAAGGACCCTGCAGCCTTCCTTGGACCCCCAAAACCGCCCTGAAGTCATAGACTCGAAGCATCCGTTTCAGGCACCCCACCACCTACTCCACACCGAAAAGGCAAAAGCTAGCTGTAATTCGTCATAGTAAGATGCAGAAGGAAGCAATGATGAAAAGAGCCGCTTCTAAACCAATTCCGCCTGGTCGCGGCCGAGCAGTGAAGCGAATGCCGATCTTCCCGGGGTTGTCGCGCACCTGGGGTACGTACCTCGGACCGGGGCTCGGGGACTCGGGGATCCATTTGGCTTCGGAGGGAAAGCTTGAACTCTATATCGGCCTGTCGGGGTTTGGGTTTACATGATCCTTTTGGCTTCGGAGGGAAAGCTTGCCTATACCGTCTGCAATACCCCGAAGCCCGAATCGCTACATAGTAAGTGCTGTGCATCAAGTATCCGCATGGTCAATCACTGGCCCCGCGCAACCTCTGCCCAAACAACTGCGAACCCATCTTGCCACCAAACAGAAGTCAAAGGGAGGCCACAAGTGGGAAGTAATTAAAGACAGCTGGTGAGCGTCACGATATCCTCTTGAGTTTCTCCTCCACAGAAACCACAAGGACGAGTCAAGAACCGGGATGCTTGTTGGGGGCTGTCAGAGCACAAGATGGTTTGACGGTTTGGGGTTTTGTCGGGCTTATCGTTGCATATCCCATATGCTTGCCTCTGTGCTGATGATATGGAGCGGCAGGGGGATGCCGGCGGTGGCCATGTCGTCGTCTCGCTGTTTGGTTCCTTTACTATCCGGTTCTGCTCATCGCTGTTAGCTTCTTGCAGAAATAAGTGTATCCGTTCCACAACCGCAAAGTATCCAAAACACCTATGCAGACTCAAAACACAGCATGGCCTTGTCACACAAATCGGGCTTGGCGCCGCGCTCCTCTGTCTCCTCCTCTTCGCGCCATCGTTGGAGCTCTTCTGCCTGTGGGAAGCTCAACGACTAAGCCTGAATCCAATGCAGAGGCCTTATAATTATGTGCCCAAATAATCACCAAGCTGAAGAACCTAAAACGCCGGCAAAGTTTAGGCATTGAAGGTGCAGCTCAACAGCCTGCTTGCCCTCCAAGAGAAGTGCTATTCTATCAATTCCAATGCGCACGGCTCTTAATGGCACTGCTGTGATCTGGCGAGAAGAAGTCTGCTACCTAGTCCCTGTCTGCTGAATTCTTCTTACTCATCAAGCCCTTACGCCGTAAACCCCGCACTCTAAATCGGAAGCCGATCGTTGCCTCACTCCAAAAGCCCTGAAAACGCAAACCCTAAACCCGAAGCCCACAAATTCACACCAAGCCCCCCTCCATCTCCGCCCTGAACCCCAGATCCTCAATGCTACCGCCCCAAAGCCCTAACCTTAAAGTGCTTTACTGTAGGGGCCTACATAATTACCAGTACTATTTTGGGGGGCTCCTTATTAGAATTATAGTATTCATTGTTCCCCAAGCCTGTTCTTCATATTAAATTATGCGGCTAAAGGCTAAATAAAGTGTAATTTTACCAGCGCTCAGACACCCCTTGCAGGCCTTGACGATCGGCTCAGGTTCTCTCGGAGCTTCCTCCTCTGAAAGGTCCTGGGGGCCCCGGATAATGCAAAGGCCCGAATACTTAGAGTAGGGTTTAGGGTTTAGGCTTCAAGGTTTAGGGCTCAGGATTCAGGGTTTAGGCTTCAGGGTTTAGGGTTTAGGATTTAGGGTAGTGTCGAGGCCTGAATAGTTAAGATAGGGTTTAGTGCTTAGGGTAATGTCGAGGCCTGAACAATAAAAATAGGGTTTAGGGCTTTGGGTTAAGGTTAATGTCGAGGCCTGAACAGTTAAAACAGGGTTTAGGGTTTAGGATTTAGGGTAATGTCGAGGCCCGACTAGATAGAATAGGGTTTAGGGTTTAGGGCTTAGGGTAATGTCGAGGCCTGAACAGTTAAAACAGGGTTTAGGGTTTAGGGTTAAGGGTAATGTCGAGGCCTGAATACTTATAACAGGGTTTAGGGTTTAGGATTTAGGGTTTAGAGTAATGTCGAGGCCCGGATAGATAGAATAGGGTTTAGGGTTCAGGGTTTAAGGGTAATGTCGAGGCCTGAATAGTTAGAACAGGGTTTAAGGCTGAGGGTAATGTAGAGGCCTGAATAGATAGAATAGGGTTTAGGGTGTAGGGTTTAGGGTAGAGGCCTGAATACTTAGAGTAGGGTTTAGGGTTTTGTAGAGGCGTGAATAGTGGGGTGAAGTGGCCATCAGGCGGTCCGAAGCATTTTGCCCGTGCCTAAGGAACACTGTTGGTAAGTGGCTTCAAGCTTCTATATATATATATATATATTTTTATATAATATATATATATATGGGGTTGCATATATATATATATATAGTATATCAGCTTTGGGTGTGGGGTTGGGTTGGAGGTTTCAGGGCTGAGGGCTCGGGTTCAGGGCGGAGGATTTGGTCTAAGGCCAGGCAGCAGTTTGGCCTATCCTTCACGGCTGAGTCGGTGAGCGTTTATGGTTTAGCGCTGACGGTTCAGGACGTTCAAATCTGCAGCAGCGTACACGCCAGCCTGCTTATGAGAAAGACGTGAGCATAGAACTGCAGAAGGACCTAACCTTGTAAGAGATTCAGATAGCGAAGACGATGACAACCCATGAAGGCGGCAGCGAGAATATCAATAGCGCTCATGAAGCCCGCATCATGGCTCATTCAGGTCTTTGCAGAATCTTCAAACTTCAGGGATGTACCCAATTATCTTACGTCCCCAATAATCCAGGGAAATAGACGGTTAAACTTCAAGATTCCTACTAAAATATAAGAACCCCAAATATTGGCGTCCATCAGGTTGTGCAAGTAAGTACGAGTACGGCTTTGGGGCCTCGGCCTCATGGGTATGCGTGAACTTCGAAACCCACGCAGTAGGCAGAGTGGAGAAGCCAAAGAGCAAAGTCTGCGCCCTACGTCCGACCGGAATCCCTCGCTCCAAGCAGTGAAACCCTTGCCTTACCTCCATCTTATCAGCGCCTGGAGCAGTGAACCCTAAACTAAGCACTAAACCCTAAACCCTGAACCCTGAACCCTAAACCTTTTAAACCCCCGAACCCATCTCCGTGCATGGGCTCCTCCTCTACCGGCGCTGCCTGGGCGGCTTGTGGCACAAGCCCTCACCGTAGGTATGCTTTGCGCAGAAATCGTGAGATCGGGAGGATGGATGATTTTGGGTGAAATAGCAGGAGCTCGACATGCAAAACATACTGAACGTAAAGGCTTTACAAGAGGATTTGCCCCGAACACCACGTTTGCAGAATCTTGGTAACCCTAAACCCAGAATCCCAATGATTCTAGCTATTCGGGCCCCAAATCGAATATTCACGAAGCCACCCAGACCCAGAACCCAGATCACATGGCTAGGGTTTGGGGTTTGCTGGAGAGCTTGGTGTTCGAGTCATGTAAGGATTGTCAGCTCAGGATAATATAGGGGCAAAAACAAGAGCACCAAGTGCTCTTAAATACCATATCTTCTTAAGTTTAGCTACCTGTGTTGACTTTGCCAATGCAGAGAGAATTTAGGGCTTTGGACTAGATTGCCCTCTAAATTATGTAGCGGCTATGCAGGACTACTAGTGCCATGTTTTCAGACCCAAAATTTCAAGATCGTCCGAAAATCCCGACGAGCCTTGGAGGACTTCTTAGCCTTGGCAGCCACTGGTGGAGGAGCCGTCGGTGCCGGAGCCTGGTGCGGAGGGAGCTGGAGTGCAGAAGAAGAGGAAGCTTCGAGGAAGGTCTGTGTTTTTTGCTTAGAACGCCGTAGGCGTCATTGTTGTCGGATTGCTGTGCTGACTGCAAAGTGCTGCAGGCGTTTTTTGGTGTTGGTGTTCTGTTGATTTCCGGATAACGCAACGAGAGGTCCAAAGAGGATGGCCAAGAGAAGCAGGACTGTCTGTCGAGTTGCCAAGGCAACAAACAATAATGGCAATGCCAGTAGTAGTCATACTAATAATACCAAACCTAATGACAATCAGAGTCGAAATCATAGTCATAGTGGTAAAAATGACCATCATCATCATCATCATCATAGTAATCATCATACGGGCACTGTTTAGGGCCACTTGCCAGCATCTGAATGTCTTGGGCATGAGGGAAGTGCTGAACACTTTCGGGTTGCTTGCACTGTGAATCCTGCATCACTCTACACAAAGCCTTCACCCTGAGAGTGAATCTGATCTTCGTTGCTCTTCATAATGTCCCAGTGTCAGTCCTGATACCGAAATATGGGAAGACCCCTTTTCCGATGCCTCTCTTCTGTCTTCAGAGCTTCGATCCTGCTCTGTGATGTCCTCGATGGTCCTTTCTGAATTCGGGAATCTGCGAAACGGCCCGGAAAGGAGAACCGAAGTGCAAAAATGCAGCCCGTAAGCGCCAGAGACTCGAAGTAGTCGCGAGGCAAAGAACACAGCTTAATATAGGGCCTGAGTCATTAGACTAGGGTTTTGGGGCCCAGTATGCTAATCATAATACGGATCCCCTAAAACAAAATAGGTAATTATTCAGGCCCCTACGTTAGCTCGTAAGATCTCGGGCTTTGGAGGGAAGGCTAAGAGCTGGAAATGGAGAACTGACAGCACGTACGCTTGAGTGTTCAGGGTTTAGGATCCGATAGCCGCTGCTGCCGGAAGTCGAATAATGTAGGGGCCTTAATAATTAGAACAGGGTTTTGGGGGCTCCCTTATTGTATTTATAATATGATATACCCCCAAACCCCATTCTAATTATTAAGGCCCCTATTTTATAGGATTTAGGGGAGCTAAGGGCAAGTGTACAGTTTATTTAAGTACCCAGCAAAGAAGTGTCAGACATGGTGATGATTCAGGCTCCAGGATTGCGGGCTGGGAGGTCTTCCCGTCAAAGTTGCTAACTTGAGACAACCACAGCCCCCAAGTGAAGTGCCAAGCTTTATAATGGATTCACGACGGTCAAACTAAATCAACGAAACACGTGTTCTCAATTTTGTGTATATAATGCATCTGTGTGCGTATGTGTGTTTCCACATTACACATACAGAGATGGAGGCACAAAGCGAATTTACGCCGAGATGCCGCTGCACCTACGTACGTTTGGCATGGCTGAGACATTGTTGTAAACACTGGCGACCCTAATACCAATGATGTCGACCGTGCAGTATTCGGAAATGTGTTGATTTCCCTGACACCAGGATACCGGGTCGGTATGACGCTATACTCATAAGTACTCGATGTAACCGCGCATGATGTAAAGCGATGTTGTCCGTGGGTTTTTAGGATCGCATTGGGTGGGTATACGTGTAGGGGCCAAGAACAGTAGACTGCCATTTCTGGAACGAGTATACTATAGATGTCATAATTGCGAGCCCCAGGGAAGGAACACTATACACTAAGGGCGAAACAACACTAACTGCACAAACCCGCTTAAAGCCCTTTACCGCCCCTACATTGCCCTCGAGCAATCCATCCAAGCGTCGGCTCGGACTCTGGCAGAAGTGCTCCAGTCTCCTGTCGTTGAAGTTCTTGGGAATGTAGAGGCCTCAATAATTAGAACAGGGTTTTGGGGTATATCACCCTATCATAATAATAATACGGAGCCCCAAAATAGTAAAGGTAAAATCACGTGCGATCCTCAAACCTGAAACTCTGAGCATCTCCCTAAAGCCCCACAGTTGATGATATAAATCCTGCATTACCCGTAATAGGAATATACAATAACTCTCATAGTTTAGGGTCCTTAAGGTAATGCAGGATTAATATCATCAACAGCAGCTAAAGTCTCCATAGTCGTTCCTTTTTTTGGTTAAACTCATTCTGTATTTAGGATATTATCAGGCAACCCAAGAAAGGAAAGACCATGGAGACTATAGGTAAAATCTCAAACCCCAGAGCCTTAAACCCCGAAGCCCTAATTAAGCACCCCAGCACACAGGGCCGTGAAGGTCCTGAATCTCAAGCGTTTAGGGCGCGGGGCTCCTTTTGAATATCGTGGCCCACTGCATGATTTTTGCGGGGTCCTGCTGATTGGAGTAGGGATCTTTCGTCCGGATGCTATGACTCTGGGACTGCGGATGCGAACCATCTTGATCTGCAGATCTCTGGGCACTCTAAGCCAATGATGACACCATCTCCCCATGTATTGTAGGGGCCTTAATAATTAGAATAAAGTACTACAGTTATACAAAGGAAACACCAAAACTTCTGTAATCATTGGGGCCGCTACATTATTGTGCTTTCATGGGTTTTAGGGTTTGGGGACTCAGTCAAGCCTAAAGCCTAAAATCCCAATGCCCTGCACACTGCACCCCGGGTTGAGGGTTTAGGGTTTAGGGTACCGCAAGGCTCGCAGAAGAGATGTCCTCGTCGAAGGACCGGAACACCTCCTCTTCCCACCGATCCTTCTCCTGCATGGGGCTTGGAAAGACTTTACCTATAGGATGGTTGTTAGGATCTTATATTTATATTTGGTGAAACAGAAACAGGAACTACAATAGAGACTGTAGGTAGCTTGCTTGGAAGAGGTGCAGGAACTAAAACTAGACGGTTACGGGGAACCCTAAACCCTAAACCCTTGTACGGGCCTAAACCCTAAACCCTTAAGCCGATTACCAATGGTTCAGACCCCTTCGTTCGGCTCCATAGATGGTGTTTAAGCTCATTAGCGTCCGCGAGCGAAGCATAGCAGTTGTTGATGACTGGAGTTCTTAGACAGAGAGACCGAGACCCCTTTATGAACTAACGAATCCTCTGACAATCTTTGTGACATCTAGGGAGTATGCCTTTTTGCAGGGATTCCGAAGTTAGAGTTCCAAGATCTCGACTAAACTTTCTATCCAAAGTACACGAAACCCTAAACCTAAATCCCTAAACCTAGCCCCCAAACCCTACTTGAGATCCAGGAACTCGGAGCATCCCGGCCACACCCTGCAAACCCTACACCCCGAAACCCGAAACTCCTAAACGACGGTCTGACATCAGCACCCCGAAGCATACCTGGCTCTCGAATCCGTGAGATGTCCTGCAGACATCCCACATCGGTTCCCTATAAGCTGTAATATAGGGGCCTTAATGATTGGAATAGGATTTTGGGGCCCATTCTACTGTAAATATAATAAGGAACCCCCACAATACTATTGGCAATTTTTAGGCCCCAACATTAGATAGCAATTCAGAGTCCAGGGTGTAAGAGATTCGGACTTCGCCCAATTGACAAGAAGGGAAGTCTCGCGTCTCTGGGCGTGGCGCCTCTTTCTCCCACTTCTCATCATATACCTACTATATACCCTATATATACGCTTAAGGGACCCTAGAATCCCCTAAGGGCCCATGTTAAGGGCCCATGGGTTCAATCTTGGACTGGAAGTGGCCTCTTTCTCCCACTTCTCAATGGTCTCTCGGTTCTGAGAGTCGAGTCTCCACTGCCTCAGCGGGAGCTCAGATCTCAGGGGCTTGCGGCTGGTCCGTGCTATGAGCAGCCCATAGCATTCCCATTATTGGTATTATCACCACTGTTACTACAATTGTTATTGAATTATTGTCATTCTGATTTGTTTGCCGCTATTACGAATTATAATTAGTATTATCATTGTTATCAGTATTATCAATCTGCATTATCATGAGGGGTTTGGGCAATCAAGCGAAGCAGACCGTGGAGCTTGATGGTTAATGGTGGGTGTGGCTCTAGGGTTTAGGGTTTAGGGGGGTGTGCGGTTTGAGGATTAGGGTTCGGGTTTAAGGCTTAGGACGCATCTATCTAGGTGGCATTTTTTGTGCTTTAGTGACACTTTTCTCGGATCAAAGCAACTCCGAGTAAGCCAGAGTAGAGCAAAGCAAAGTTGAAGAACACTTACCGAAACACTAGAAGAACGAGTGTGCTCTTCAAACAATCCGTTCGCGAGAACTTAAAGCCCTAAATCCATAAGCCCTCAATTCCCCGCCGCAAACCTTAACCCCATAACGCATCCCCCCATTCAACGCTCAAGCCTTCAACCTTATAAACCCTAAAACCCCCTTCAACCCGCAAAGCTCAAGCTGCACGCACCCAAAACCGAAACTGCACGATGCCGAAGGTAAATGAGTAGTTCTCCAAATTGGGGTCCCTTTAAGGGTCCGTTCTTTCAGGGTGCCGTACATTTGGGGGACCTGCAAAAAGGCTCTTCGGTAGATTCGACTTTGAACCTGAAGTTAAACCTCAAACGCTCCCCCAAACCCCATCTTGCGAGGGTTTCGGGGCATGCTCTACTGACCCTACTGTAGGGGCCTTAATAATTAGACTAGGGTTTTGGGGGTTTCTNNTATGATAAGGAGCCCCCCAAATAGTAAAGGTACTGATTCAGGCCCCTATATTACTGTTAGCATCTGCTCCCATGCTACATTGCTTCTCCCAGGATAGCTGAATCTGAACAAAGCCTAGCATGAGCAAAGACCATGCCAAGCCTGCTCCCTAATCCCCAACCCTGAACCGCCTAAATATATAAATGAAGATAAATGATAACCCCCAAAACCGGTCCCCGAACCCTTAAAAAAACCCAAACCCTAAACCCTA